TGCACGTGGATGATGAACGCATTCAATTGGCACGTATGTGATGCTCTTATCCGCCATTCTTGAGTGCCGCCGATCTGTTAGTCTTCCATTTATTACGAAGGAAGAAAGAAATCTTGCTCGTAAGAACCCACTTTTTGGAAAGATCGACTTTTAAAATACTTCGGTAATAAAACATTCACGATTATGACATGATTATAGCGAGCTTCAAAGTGTAGGTAGCGCAGTGGTTTCTGACGCCATGCAATGCACACACGATCTCTGGTTCGACCTCCTCGAAAGTGTATTGAGCCTTAAAATATCCGCGAACTGATGCCAGACTTGTCGAGGAAAGGATTGCTACAATGGCGCACACAGTTTGGTGATCGCCATTGTAGAGGACCTTGGAACACTTTGGGAGAAATGTCCCAGGATTGCAAAACGAATGAGCTTAACCAGCCACCAACGGCACTCAAGAAGACACGTCCTCAAGCAGGTGATGAGCTCTTAAGTAAAATTCGAAAAGTTTTGGGAGTGTAAGACAATGGAGCAAGAGATTTAAAAAATTCTAACTTGCACAAGATATCTGCATATAGAAACGGCAGATAAAAATGAAAATAAATCACAAAGATCCGCCGCGAACCGCCGCTAGCGTGTGCACAGGTAGAGAGCAGAGGGAAGAATCCTCGAAACTGGCGCGGCAAATAGCCATTTCAAATGGCTACGAAACTGTAGCTTCTCAGGATAGGCATCGAGGAAATCCCACGCCCCAGAGCGATAATTCTAGCGAAAACAAGGCTCCGTTCCCGTTGCCCTTTATTTCAAACGAAATAAGTGCAGCTATAAAACGCTGCTTAACAAGGGCCGGTCTAGAGAATTCCGTAAGAGTGATAGAAATACCACCGGACACTTTAAGACGCCAGCTAGTTCGCAACCGCCTGTACGACCGTCTATGTACAACAAAAAACTGCATAATTTGCCCAAATGGTAGAGACGGTGATTGCATGAGTTCGGCTACAGTCTATCTGATCTCTTGTAAAGCGTGCGGGCACGAATATGTTGGCGAAACGGGTAGACCGCTCTGCGTCCGCATAAAAGAACACCTAGCCGGTAAATCTAAACTAAAGCAAAATACTCCACTAGGCGCGCATAGGATGCAAGAACACAACGGAGATTTTGAGGTAGGAGTCACTATCCTTACGCAGGAATCGAAAACATCAGCGCGTAAAACTCTTGGAGCCTTTTGGATCAATGCCAAAAATTCAAAAATGAACCGCAAGGAGGAGTGTCTTGTCATCACGCGTGACCTGGCGCCACACCTCAGGCTGATCCAATGACCTGACATGGACACAGTTATCGACCATGTATTACTCTGTGCGGCGGCTATCCACCAACTAACTTAAATACTTACAACAAATAAACGGTGGGTGTTTGAATGAAGCTGTTTCTTATGCGAATGCAAATCGAATTGTCAAGTTTTATCTGCTGGGGTTGTGAAAGTGTTTGGCTGAGTAGATCACATCTCAATTTGACCTTTCCAGGCTCTGAAGAAGGCGAAACCGCCGAAACGTCAGCAATTGTGTTCTAATAAATTCTATATTAACAACCTCGTGTCTGCTTATTGATGAAAAACATTGAATTATCAATTAATGCCGAGGTTAACAGAAAGTCGGTCATGGGAATCACAAAGATGTTGAGATATGAGCGAAACTCGAAACCTTATTTGTGCCTCGAGCCCACGACTACTTTTTCTTGTGCCTCACTTGTTGTCCACTATATCAACCGAGGCCCTCACCTTGCCTTTCTCTTGACGAATTTTTTAAACCCAGCGGTGCTATAAGCAATTACCAATCGATGGCAATCATCTGGTGAACCGAAGTCGGCAGTTGGTAGCACGTGAGCCCCAGTAAAGGGTAATTGACGGCTCGGAGCACACTTAGAATTCAGTTTGACTCAGTTCTTAGCATCCCTGTAATTATACTTCATATAATATCAAGTCATGAAAGAGGGTAAAAAGGATAAAGGATAAAGCTCTCGGCGTTGATCGATCCCTGAGTGATGCGCCATGCATTCGCCTTAATTGAGCATCGTTGGAGGTGATTGAATGCATATCTAGCCTTTACAAAGACTCGTAGTGGACAACCAACGTATTGTGCCAGTTATGCTATCTTTCCAAACAAGTCTGGTACCAGCCTACCGAACCCGGACGGATACAGGTCTTGGTGGGCCATGGACGCGGAATCGATTCCACGTGTGTATTGCAGGGCGCCCCGACTACTGCGCCACACGCGTTCCTAATGGAAACTACGAGGGAAGAATCAACTAAGTTTTCCATCATCTAGAACTGAGTCGACCAACTTGTTTTCCTTACCGACTTTGACAAAGACAGAAGTTTATCACTTGATGTAAATAACGAACCAGTGTTTATCAAAGAATGGCAGAGCTTACCGAGTCTCTTATAACTCCGGGATTATGAAATTGGTGCCACAGTTGCCTGGGATTAGGTTACTCCTTCCAATCCACCGGGGAAGGCCCTAGCACGGCTATTTCAGGCCTTCAAAGTCCTTGATTAGCACCCGAATTCAGAGGCAAGAGTTCGAGGACTTCGGTGAAAGATGGATGGAGGGAAACCAACCGAGTGCAGGGACTGCTGGAATCCACACAATATGCCACAATGTACCCAAGGCGTTTAGCGTGGCTTTCGCAGCGGAATATGGGAAATTTTTCCTCAGTTGCGGCCTTTCTGGTCTTTTGATGATAAAAAATACTGTTTGACTAACTAGAGCACTTTAGCCGTCGTGGATATGACATGATTGCGGAGCCAAGCATCCTACACGTATAGTATAAAGCCCTCAAGCGCTAAAGGACGCCTTAACCAGAAGCGGTTCACATTCCAGTGCAGCCAAATTTCATGCATGTACGATTAGTTGGACTACAAGACTTCATTTCCGAACAGTGGCCATAAATAAGCAAAGTAAAATTCTTAAAGAACTGAAAACGAGATGATCTAAGAAACGGTGCAAAAAATAACACTGTAGCAAAGGAAGAACGAATGGTGTACCACAGTGACAACACACTGAAGAGGTCCGTTTCAATTCTGTAATACTAGGTCGACAAAAAAAAATAAAAAATACTACCACTTCCCAAAACGATTTAAATTAAAAACAAAAAATACTACCACTCCCCAACACGATTTAAATTCGTCGCTTAAGCAAAAGTTGAAAAACCTCCTGCAAAACCTAAAAGGATCAAGTAATTTGTTCAGAAAATCCTTACAAGAACGATAATACAACACAAACAATGCGCCCAGGCGCCTAGAAACACCATCGCATCCCGCGTATACAAACACCTCACTTTTTGGCATATGAGCCTTGGTCGTAAAAGCAGAATTAAAGAAACGACAAGTACTAACATAAAAATGACTACGAAATTAAGAAGCCCATTTTCGCCAAAGAACGCCTAGTCGACCAATATCCGACGAAATTTGTCGCCAACAGTTGCCAGGTAGTTGGACTGTAGTGCTCGTTCCAAGTCGGCTAGCTGGGCTACAGAAACAGCCAACTGTGGAGCATGACCCTCGAAAGTAGTCACTGAAACAGTTACCATCCTATTCCATGACTTCAAGAAAAAAAAACAAAGGAAAAAAGAACCAGAAACAAGAAATAAGGGCACTGAACTAAAAGAAACTGACGTTTACTAGACGCTCATTTTCAATTCTACTTACACAGAACGACATATTCATAGCAAACGATATATTTAACATTATCATTTATTACTGCTAATTTTACTAAACAATAGTAATGCTCTAGGATAAAGCTCTCGGCGTTGAACAATCTCTGAGAGATGCGCCATGCATCTGATTTCAGTAAGCATCGTTAGAGGTGATTGAACACATATCTGACCTAAAAAGTAACTCGTGGTGCCCTAACGATGTATCGAGTCACTGTTGCTATCCTCCTAGACAGATCTGATACCAATTTGCCGAGCCCGGAAGGATGGAAGGTTTAGTGAGCCTGTGGCGCGGGATCAAACCAAGTTGCATTGCAGGGTGCCTCTAGCCACTGCGTTACAGGCGCTCCTACTTTACTATATACTACTACTAATTATCGCTTCAAAACAAACAAAAGTGGAGCATCAGATGCTCGTATTACTTTCTCATGCAGGGATTAAACCGGATTCTAAGTCTTTTTAGAGGCCTTACAGTCACAGCAATGACAAGATTGAGGTGTTGCTGTTACGCAAAGCGGTACGCTGAAGTGGTAGTGTGCATAAGGATCGGATATATATGAGTGTCTTATAGATGCTCGATGGTTTTGCAAAAGGATGACCAATATAGCGTGTTTTGTTCGTTAGTCTAACGGTGCAGGCGCTCATCATTTGGTTCCACTACAAGAACTCCCAAAACCGCATTCCTGGAAGATGGACAGCATCGGTTTGCGACTTTATCGACCAAGTTTCGGCAAAGAGTGGATATTTTCTGCTCGGAAGCCAAAATGAATATAGAGCGTTCATACCGTGGTCAATCCAGCTCCTGTTTCTACACCTTTCGCAGAAAGTCCTGCCAGTGCAGCTGAAGTAGAACAGATTCATAAATGCCAACTCGCACTGATTGTGATCGTTGAAAATTCAGATAGATTAACAACAGGAGTTGAGGTTCCGAACGACGGCGATATGCGCGACGAGAAGTACCTTTTCAAAATCACGTGCATTCCATTCTAGCATAGCTCTTCGATAAATGTGACTTAAACCTCAGATGGAAACGATATTCGCAGCTAGTGTCGCCCTTGTCGCAGCATTTCAACAAGAATTAGAACGCCTATTTGCTAGTTCTACACTGCAAGAGTTCTGCGCTTCTGTTCCTGATGACGTTTCTTCAACATTTTACTGGTGCAAAGGAGGTATCCTTGAAGCCCACTTGTTTGCTAGTGCTCTTTAATGCTCTAGGATAAACACCAACAAGTTAAGAATCAATTTGTAAGGGAAAGAAAAAGAAATCATTGCGAGAATTAACAAAAACTTTTGTTTCAACTTAGCAAACATGGATACTTACCATTCATTCGCTTCGATCCATAAACAATTTTTCCGTCAAATTCGTCGACCGGAATCTCGAATGCAGAATCGACTATTGATATCGTTTGCCCAAGATGTTCCTCAATATCTGCTAGTAGCTAAAATAAACACCAATGTAAGCTTACGCTGTAGATTTATACGTATATTGTGTTTTGTTCCAAAATTGTCGCGGAAATAATTGTAACATTTCACATACACAAGCTTTGTTCTCTTTAAGTTGGCAAAACATTCTCGTGACAAAGAAAACCTCTACAATAATTAAATTAGGAGGTTATCATAAACGTAGTGCTTGTGTCAAACCTTCCGCTCATTGTACCAGAGAGTGCATCCACCCTGCGAAACATCATTCGTGTTTCGGCAATCTGGATTTCGGCATGAATGGTACCACACCTTTTCCTCATGAGTTGAAACTAATGAGATTGAAAGACCCATTCTGAAACAAACAATCATGAAATGGTTCATGTTATTGTTATCAGAAGAGGAAAACAAGAAATAACGGACAAGGTAGTAAAAAAGAAAAAGGCATACAACATTATTGTTTCCCATATTAATAGAAACAGTGAACATTAGTAGAGTATTTACGCACTTATTACATGGGTACTTGGACGGCACATTCTCACTATTCATTCACAGTCAAGCACAATTCGAATTCATCTCGTCCCCTCACGACGTTTATGGAGTCAATCCATTTTGCATATGCTGCTTGAGGACACTCTGTTATCCAAAATTCTTTTCCAACTCCACTTAACTGAATAACGCGCACAACAAAGACGTCCCCCATATTGCAGCTGGCCTCTATAGATGCTCACTTATGCCCTGCCAAACGTTAAAGCCGTTGACTCCACTCGTCACATGACAAACTATACCACAAGTCTTGACTGTTTCATTTATTGCCTACTCTTTTTAATGGCAGAGTATATTGCGAAATATAACTCAGCTTGACTGGGTCCATTGCCGATTTGTGCTCGCCAGATCAATCCCGCTGACGGGTGATTGCTGATGGCAGAGATCGATAGAACTAGCTGAGAGACAGGCGAAACGATGAACCCGCATGGTGTGGTGGTGAACGCGTTACTCCCCGGAAAGGACAATAGCGCACTCGTTCCCCACCACAGACACCTGCGGTCCGAAGTTTTGCAAATATCTCAGCATCATTGAAGTTATATACCACAAATATGCAAATAATGTATACCAGCAATACTAATTTTGAACCTTCTATAAAAGAAAATAAATAAAAAGTCCTTCTTTTGAACACATCTGTGTACAAGCAACATGACCTATGAATATAATTTTAACTTATTATTTACTCCATACTCTTTTTAATGGCAGGGTATATTGCGAAATATAACTTCAATGATGCTGAAATATTTGCAAAACTCCGGACCGCAGGTGTCTGCGGTAGGGAACGAGTGCGCTATTGTCCTTTCCGGGGAGTAACGCGTTCACCACCACACCATGCTAGTCTTTCGTTTCGCTTGTCTCTCATCTAGTTCTATCGATCTCTGCCATCAGCAATTACCCGTCAGTGGGATGAATATATTTGATAATAATAAAATACATAGATCTTAAACAGCTAATTCCACAACAATCAACCCATACCGTTCTGCTCTACCAACACGTCCAATGCGATGTACATATTGTGCAGCTTCATCAGGAAGCGTAACATTTATCACTAAAAAGGCCCACAATTATTGATTAGCAATACAAACAAATGAAATCTCTACGAATTTTTAAAACAGGTTTATAACTCAAACGTCTAGGTATTTTACTTCCGAAATCGACACGTATTGTAGGTTCCCTGTCTGGCTTGAATTCTGCAGCAAAAGTCCGCCCGAGAAAATTTTCCTAATTATTAGGTGTAATGAATAGCAGTTTCTCACGGATTACGTCTGGCACAAAATCTGTGTTGCACAAGTCATCGATAGAATACAAGAGGTATTCCTAAACTTTGCAAAATCTTTGCAGAAAAAACAAATAGTTGAAAAGAATATGCACCGCAGTCAATGCGCACCATCCACTCTGGGCACCTATGTGCGCTCTGTTATCGGTAGGTATGGTCATTTGTCTGCTAAGTAAATATGCGTATTTCACAAATACGGATCCAACTATAAGCAATTACTTCTCAGTTCCTGCAGAGATTTGCCTAAAAGATGCAAATTTTCCTCATACTACCCAGTAAATATTTATTTTCTAGAACCTGCAGATGGAATCAGGATTGTGTTGTCATTTGAGGCTGGCATACTTGCGTTAACAAATAAAAAAAATTTCGCCACAATTTCTCATGAACTCGAACTTTAAATAAGTTTGAATTAAAAAAAAAACAATCATACAACTACGGCGGCGTGGTAAGCCTCTTCTGTACTACTTCCAAATTCTCAGCTCCTGAATTGCTATAGCAAAAAAATTATCGGCAACTATCAAAAACCAGCATCTGACTTTATGATTTAAAAGTCTACATCCGTATATCATAGACAAACACACACAAATTCTATTCCGTAGTTTTTTCAAACACTGAAAGGGCAGATCGCAGTAATGGAATACTGAAGCTCCATTTACGATAACAATAGGTCACCAGATTATTAGTAAACGGCATAGTGCGAAAAGTTCCTTGAGAAAATCCCTTCAATAACATCTACTATAACAGTAAAATATTGAAATGATACTTACAAAACGGAACTCCAGTAATGTCAATACCACGAGCGGCGACGTCTGTGCACACCAGGAAGGGAATCTTCTTTTCCTAGATTTTAGAAGAATGTTTAATATTACGTATTTCTTTGGATTGACGGTTTACAATTACAAAAAATTCCAAACATCGAAAACTACGAAATTCAAGCACTCTGTGCTATTTCCCGATTTTTCCTTATAGAAGCACCAAAGGCAGCTAGTTCGACCCAGTGCCTCTGGGCAACCAAGCTCTACATCTCACCGGGATTGGCAAAATGAAACCAGGGTTATGTTGGAAGATAAAAACACTAAATGATCCTTCGTTAGGCCGCCGGAAATCATTACATGAACCAATGTGAATTCAACTATCTAAACGATGCTTACAGAAGTTAAACGTATTGCGCATCAAACAGAGATCGATAAACTCCGGACGGTTTATCCTTGAGCTTTCCCTACATAATCACAGCAAAAGATATTTAGATTCGACATTTCTGCAGGTTCACATGGATCTAAGAATTTTCAGTTAACCACTTCCTGAGCAACCAACCACAAATCTCCCTCATAGAGTAAACAACAGGAGACTAGTAGCGAGACTACTTGGCGCGTTCCAACGTGGGATAGGGAAAGAAACGTGGAGCGAATAGAGATCTTTTGCTTCTCATGGATCCATGATATGCTGTTCCTGTTTCTGCCCCGCCGATTCAGCACATATCCTCTGTGTTGAGGTAGAAAAGTAAATGCACGGCAGTGTCCGGCGTATTCTGGTTTATGCAAATTGTGTTCTAACAGTCAATTCAGCCAAAAGCCTGCCAACAAATGACTGCAAGGCGGTTAGGAGTTGCAATAAGCCTTTCCTCTATTTTGGGAAAGACTGTCAAGAGAACCTTGAACATATCTAGCATTCACGTTCAGAGCTCAGCAGGTTATAAGTGGGTATCAAAACTCAACAAGTACGGAGAGGTTGATAAAATCCCAGAGTCATGATAGGCTGCTTAAATCTGGACGGAAGAAGGCAACGGGTCGGCACCTATGACGCACGTTCACTTGCGTCTGAACCCTGTATACAGGAGCTCCTCATCTTTGTCCGCAGAATTATGTAGGATGTCATATGCTTGGCTTAAACGAGAGGATGCCACCCACTCAACGCAATGCGCCGTTGGCGTTCTCATCAACACGAGTTTGGCCATGAATATCAATCGATTCATTCGAACAGGTAACAATCCGGATCGGTCGTTTACTCGGACTGGACGATATTCGTCGTCCACGCACCGACATTAAGCCACGAGGTCGACGAAGTCGAAGAACTCTGCACGGACTTGGCTAATTTCTATAACGAAGACCATATATTTTTTAAGATCACCAATGGAGATTTTAGCACTAAGACTGGCCTAAGGCCTCGTCTGAAGAACGCGACGTTATGATGAACGGCCAAGAATGGAACAAGCAGGGTGAGCGGATGAGTTTATTATGCTGATCAAGACCATTAATGCTAACCCGCAATTTCAGAAGTCCTACCCTCAAAGATAGACGTTGGAGTTTTCAACTAGAGAGCACCATGATGAAATAGACAACATTATGGTATACCGAAGGACTTGTCTAAGCGATGTCGTTATTCTCGCAAAATTCTACACGAGATCAGACCATCGCCTCCTGTGTGCAAGATTTCATTTTTCGTAGAAAGCAGAAAAAGCCGCCAAATTCAAAAAATGAAGTCCAAAACCAAGATAAACTGGGATTTATTCAGCTCACTAGTCGACTGTCGTTGAAGGTAGTGCTCCCGATAACATCGACGAGGAATATGACAGGCTCATTCAACATCATCACGTTAGCACTACGAAAGCCAAGAGTTCAAAAGCCACCAAGAGACATTTATACCCAGAAGCACTCGAGTTCATACGCCAGCGTGGATTTGCACCATATGCAGGTAACCACGAAGTAACGTCCGAACTTCCAAAACAATGAAGACAGGCGATAAAAAAAGATCTTAAAGAGAGAAGAGCAGTAGTAATGGTCGAAGCGGCAGAGGCTAGGAGAAGCATTCGCAAAGCCCACCGAAGCTTCGTCAATTACAAGACCAAAATGATTGCACTCCGGCACCAAAACGGAACAGTTACAGCGTCCAGAAAGGCAATGGAGAAAATCATCCACGAATACTACTCGGATCCCTTCGATAGCCACGTCCACCTTTCATTATATGAAATAAAGGAGGATGGATATGTTGCACCACCAGTTATCCCTTCCGAAATTCGACATGACATTTCGTCGGTGAGAAATCGAGCAGCACCAGGCCCAGACAGGATAAGATCAGAACACCTGAAGAACGTTGGCCAGCCCTCGTAAACACACTGGCTCGCTTCTTCACACGTTACCTGTTTGAATGCAAGGTCCCTACTCAATGGAAGACCAGCAAGACCGTGTTATTAATGTTCAAGAAGGGTGACCTGCACGATATCGGCAACTATCGCCCAATCTGCTGTCTGTCGTCTAAAAACTTTTCACTCGAGTCATCCTAAACAGGATTGACAGAACAGTAGACGAAGGACAGCCATGTGAGCAAGCAGGGTTTCGAAGAGGATTTAGTACGATGGACCATATCCATATGGTAACACGGCTCATTGAAGTCTCGCGAGAGTACAAAAGACCGCTCTGTCTCACTTTCATCGATTTACAGAAGGCCTTTGATTCAGTTGAGATACAAGCAATCTTGGAAGCCCTTGATAGTCGAGGAGTCTCTACTCAGTACATAAAGATTCTTCGCGAGCTGTACAAAAATTTCACAACCAAGATATCACCATTCTACAACAATATTAACAACGACGTCAGAAGATGATTTAGGCAAGGCAATAGCATGTTGCCAAAATTATTTACCGCTACCCTCTAGAACGCCATGCGAACATTGGAATGGGATAATATGGAAGTGAAAATCGACGGTCTGCAGTTACAGCACCTCCGCTTTCCTGATGGCATCGTCCTTATAACAGCAAACATTAGGCAAGCGGAAAGTATGCTTGCCGACTTTGGTAGTCTGTGGAAAGATTGGTCTTCGACTAAATCTCACAAAAATGACGGAATTCCATGAGGAAAGGATTGGTTTCGTATTCCCCATTCACGCTCAACGGAACGAATATCTCCGAATGTTCCAGCTATGTCTAACTAGGTCGGTAAATCAATATGATGAACGACCTAGCTCCAGAGCTGAGCAGAAGGAAACGAGCGGCTTGGGGAGCTTTCAAGAGCATCGAGGATGTGGTGAAGAGGGCAAAGAACATCCGACTCTTTGCCCACCTTTTCGACTCAACGGTACTTCCTGCCCTAACGTATGCGTCAGAAACCTGGTCGCTGCGTAAGCAGGATGAAAGAACACTCAGCGTTATTGAGCGCGCAGTCGAATGGACGATGCTAGTAAGATCCCGTTCCACACAAGTAAGGGATGAGATCCGAAGCTCCGATCTGCGTCAACGATCAAAAATCAAAGATGCCGTTCTGTACGGCAAACAGTCGAAGATAAGGTGAGCCAGACACGTAACGTGTATGAATGACAACCGATGGACAAGAGCCGTTAGTGACTGGATTCCTCGGGATGTCAAATACACTGAGGAAATACCTGAAACCTGACGGTCAAAGTTCTTCACGAAGAGCCTTGAAGAAAGATATGATGCTCGACGAATGCCTAGAGCGAGCAGAATCCACTGGGCTACTCTTGCACGCGACAGGGAAAGATGGGAGATTTACTGGCGCCCGCTCGAGTCACTCGACGACCAACGGGACTACCGGTGATGAAGGTGAAGTGAATACATTAAGTCGGAGGTATCTAATCTAATATCTCCAAAGCATGGTGAAGGAAACAGGAGGCATAAAAAAAATTGAAAAAGGACCTTGAAATCTGCTAGAGCTTGTGATCGTTCTTTTGGAGACCGATCTCCATGGAGACAGGCAGCACGATAATCTACATTAAGTAATTTGTAGATGATAGGAATATCACTAGACAAATATGATAAATGCAGTTTAATACAAAAAACTTAGAAAACATAAGCAACGCACTGTTCTTCCGCAGATAAGTTTCCATTTGGTCACATTGTTGTTTTGTTCGACAGAATATTATACACTGCTCCATTTTCAACGCTTCAATAGCCTGAACCACGTTGTTAAATGATCAACAGAATACTCGCATTCAGTACACTGTCTAGCTAGCGTTCATCTTTTTAAATTCAAGAATGCTTTGATACTCTGACGGCTAGTCGTCACTGATTATGCGTTCCTCAGCACCTTTCCATTTTTCGGAGCCATTGTGGTTCCCGAGAGTGGTTTAGCCATTGTGGTTCCCGAGAGTTCTGGATCAGCAAGGCCAAAGTCTGCCCTAGGTCGTCATCACCACAGACAGTTGCCGCCCTTGTGGATAATAAGGAGATTAGCCACCATGCGACTAGTTTCATATCAGGAGGGTGGTGGGTCTTGATACTAATTTACTCTTAGCTGGGCTTCTTGATGGAAACGCCGGACTTCCTTTCAGCTTCGGAGACTCTGCCAGGGATATAAATCACCCCACTGTACATCGCAGCCGAACACCCAGGAACACTCCACCCCCCTCCCCCATCCACGATGAGGAGCAAACCGTTAGGAGGTATCCACGGGTACAGTGCCAAAAAGATCGAATTACGATGTAACCACAAAGTCTTAAAAAAGACTTTTCACTAGTGGGGTTACTTACATGTTTTATAAAAAACTGTAGGCAGAGGAACTCCACAATATGCGCTTTAAAATCCAACGCATCACTTACCTTAAGCACGTAACATCCCTTGAGAATTTTCGTCCCTAATGATATTGTATTCTTCTCTGTAGTATTAAAACGAATGTTGTCACGCTCATGGACATAGTCATGCTGAAATACTAATTTTATCAGAAGTTGAGAAATTATTAGACACAAGACAAGGAAAGGTGGCACAAATGCACTAGGCACATTACAGCAATAGAACGAAAAATGCTCTTGTGCAGTCAGATAAATTAGAAGTTAAAAATCTACTTGCAAGGAGTTTTTCCCGTGCATGATACGAATCCACTGTTTATCCCCAACAGCATCCACCATACAAACAACGTGATGTACTGTCTCCGCAACGCTGTCCATTCCTTTTAAATCAATCCACTGTGGGAAATTCATATATTTGTCCTGCATAGCGTGTTTTTAGGCTTTTACTAAAACTACTGAAAAAACCAAAAGTTTTCTTCACCGCGAACTGAGTAATCTTTTGGTTGTGCAATGTAGCCGAACAAGCAATAACTTGGACACGCATGCCATTCGACGCCACGGTTGGAACTCGTTTAAACAGTCGCTCTAATTGCGATGTGAACGATGAAAGAATTTGATCCTGAAACATTGGAAAAACTGAATAAAATCAAGCTAAAGAAACAATTTTGGACAGCTTACTTTACGTCCTTAAACGAAAACCACAACCAACTTTTACTTTGACACTTTGCAAAAACCCTTTTTGTAGCACGGAGGTGCAACTCATAGTTCATGACAGTCGAACAAAAAATTGCAGCACATACAATACCTAGTATAACTTCAGAGATTACGTTACGGTGTACGGACGATTATTAGTTGAGGCCCACCAACTATTTGAAGCAGGATGTGTCCCACTTAATTATTCAAATTTAACTGTACTAAAACCCTACGATTCGTGAACAGAAATATGAAAGACTAAGCCCTCGGCGATGATGAATGCCTGAGGGACGCACTATGCATTCGACGTCACTAAACATTGTTGGAAGTGATTGAATGCATATCTGGCATTTACAATGACTCGCGGTTACTTGCCGATGTATCGAGCCAGTGCTGTTATCCTGCCAGACATGTCTGGTGGCAACTTGCCGATTATCGAGGGATGATAGGCTTGATGAACCTGGGGCACGGGATCGATTCTATGTGTATTGCAGGGCCACTCTAACTACTGCGCTACACGAGGAGTCCCTTTTCGTGAACACGGACTTCAAGAATGTTGATGTACTTTACGGGAAATATATATTAACAAGAACATGGCAACAATATGAGCACTGCATGTTTCGCAGGTTACCTAAAGGTACCTTAGAAGTTACATGATTTTATCGTAATATTTGGATTTTGGAATCTATGAACAAATCGTACTCTTAAAAGGACGTTGACGATAAACTGCTCATACCCAATATCTTTTAGCACTCACTGCTTCATCAATAACAATGAAGTTGAGTTCACTCATGGATAATTTATTCGTTTCAACCATGTCGAGTACACGGCCAACACCACCTGTTACGATGTCAATACCTTTATTCAGCTCAGACAGAATTTGTGCCATATTAGCACCAGCAGCCAAGGAGACACAACTGAAATGTTCTCAATCCTAGTGATTTCGCAATAATATAAAGTCAACCACAACTCCTCGTCGTTCTTTTTTTATACACTTTTACACACATATTGTGCTGTGATTTTTGCCAGAGTAGAAAATGAGGTAAAATCGTACCGAATCTTTGGAATGTCCACATGCTTGGAGAACTTCACAAGGTTTTCATGAGTCTGTTCTATCAGTTCCTTAGTGGGTTCGAGTACAATACATACAGGAGCACCTGTTGCTTCATTTCTGTTGTTTTGGACATCAACTTCACGCCACTTGACAAGTGAATCAGGTGCTTCGGATACCGCAACAAATCCCTGAAATTAATATTGTTAATTATAGTAACTTTACAATTGAGAAAATATCAATCAAAACGCTTTTATTTGACTCTTTTACCGCTTTGGGTGGAAATGCGAATGGGGTGGCACCAAAGTTAAGCTCCAAGGATGAGTTCTGCACCAGTACAGCTGGATGGAGTGCACAATGTGGACTTGAAAACTCTGGGTCCAATCGGAAGGCAACTTCAAATTCCTTGCCATTTTTTGACCACCTAAAATTTTAGTACTCACAAACATTTCATGAGCACCATCAAATAGGTAAACTTTTACCCAACTAACCATATTCTTCCATTATCAAGATCGAGATAACATCCTAAGACGTCACCAGTACTGAAGGATTCCCCATATTTCTCAAACTTCCTTTGCGTGCTCTTCATACCGGATCCACCAAAGCCAAAACTCTTATAGTCCGTCCCTCAAAAGAAAAAATTTTTATATTACTGAAAGACCAAAGACTTGAAAACTTAGCCTTAGCGATGAAAAATAATATACCTAAGTCTAGTGATGCACTTGCTGCGGACCACCCAATGCGACATAAGCCGTCACGTGTAATTTTCACCTCATAGTAGTACTTTCCTTAAAGCAATACTTTAAGTAGAGTACGTATTAATGCGAAATAAACAGAATATCGGTCTAACATTCGTTTACCTTTACTATGTACACCGCCCATGCATCTTGAGCCAAACCAAGCTTTCGGCACGCGACTCTCGCATGACAACCCATCCTGAGACAATGCAAGCCCCATATCACGATCCATTAGGTTTAGGCGCCAACCTACAACTCAAAAAACAATATAACCAGGATGATGCAAAGATATAAGAATTCGGAATCTCAAGTGGGTTTCGAACCCGCGATCACGCTTATTAGGGGCTTCGGTGGTATTCACCACACCTACAGAAGTCTGCTTTGCCTTTCTCACAGACATGTTCTCACTCTGTCGGTGCCATTTGCAATCACTCTTCGACGGAAATGATCTGGGAGGCAAAACCGACACTGAACCCAGTTAAGCTGAAGCTGCAGTTATAATTGTAATGTTTCCACCTTTAACTAATTCCTATTCTCTCTTTCCTGGCAGAAAGGCAGAGCAAAGACTTAGCATGGTGATGGGTATAGGAACTGTGGCTGAGGTTCCGAGTTCTACTCAAATCTCAGCAATCCTGTTGTTGTATTTCGCATTCATTGTACCCTAACATGAGAAGGAAAAAAGAACAGACGGTCAGTAAAAGTTAGATCATTAGGATCCAAAAAAAAAATACTCTAATTGAACGAAAAACGTTCAGGTATAGGACTTATTTTTTCCATGGAGGGACTTTCAGGACACTGACCAAGTTCGAGATCTCTCAACTTTTAGAATGAAATATTTTAAAAAGACGACATAAACTAATGCTATTTGGAGAACTAGACTTCGTCACTGGCAAATACAAGCCCGCAAAAAGAAGAAATTAGGTCTACAAAGAACAAAAATAAGCGCATAACATAAGATACTAGCATACTTGCATTCCCAACAGATCGTGGATTTGCCGCATCTTTGCGCCTCTCCCAGACGATTTGTACAACGGGCAATGAAAACGCTCCAGTTTTACCACTACCTGTTTCGGCAGCCTCAAATTCATTTCAAGTTTAGAGTGAATTAACTACATGGCTGAACTTCAAAATGCTGACATGAAGGGTCATAAATGGAAAGAATGTAAATTTAAAGTAATAACTTACTATGAGTACATCACCTCCACCAAGGATAGCCGGAATTGCATCACACTGGATTGGTGTTGGTAACCTGAACATTTATTTATGGCTAGTAGAAAAAAGAAAGCTATAACAGTTAGTATTATAAGAGGTAAAAAGAATAAAGCTCTCGGCGTTGACCAGTCCTTGAGGGTAATGCATTCCATTTCTTTAAGCGTTGTGGGAGATGACTTAATGGATATCTTACCTATACAATACCTTGCGATGGCTCAGTATCAAGCTAGTGTTGCTATCCTCTCAGACAAGTCTGGTAACAATCAGTCGACCCCATCGGTATGGAAGGATTGAGGAGTCTGGTGCGCTGGGATCGACCGTATATGTATTGCAGAGCTCCTCCGACCACTGCGCCATACACGCCCTATAGCAACTATTCCCAAAATAGTTTCTATTTCGTTCTATATATATTTGTATCTTTCTACTACTGTATGTTTCAGTAGTAAGGATCATATCCACTGTTTCTCAAGTTGCCTAGCAAATGTCGTAGTACGTAAATATTTCTACCCCATCCTGAGGAACTTCAATCGCTGTAAACAGTCTTGTTATGCAAACCTATTTTTGCAATCTGAACTCATTATTTGTTATTACTGTCCAAAAGTTATCATGCGAACAATAACAAGAAGAGCATGAAGATGTTTGCGAGAGCAGTCTTCCGCCAGATGATATGTGGTTTTGAAAGGATATGGAGACGGTAGCCGACGAATGTTTTCGGTAAAAATGCTGGACCTGTGCCAAATACCGCCTTCTCTAGAAGCATATAAATTGCCTCGTTAATTGCTATCCAGGTTCACCAACGTCAGGGTTCGTCCGCTCTTAGATCCGTACCGTATTGATCTCGTGTGTCACCAATGTAGATTATCGTAGTTGTTAAGCCATACTGCACGTAGTGATTATTGTACATTAATTTGGTCATATAATTATTAAACGATAGTTGCGAGTTGTAAAAATTGGTTTAGCATCACCGTTAGTGTGCCACACTCCCCGCGTTCAGTTTGAAACACCATCCCTGGCATGTACCATTCCTCCCACACGGTACGCCATGCGTACAAGGCCGCAAACCGGCCAACGTATACTGTGTATTTGTTAAGCCGCTATACGCCCCATGTATGCTACAAAAAAAAAGGATGAAGAATAAAGCTCTCGGCGTTAATCAATCTTTGAGGGATGCGCCATGCATTCGACGTGACTAAGTACCGTTGGAGGTGGTTGAATTCACATGTGGCCTGCTGCTGTATCGAGCCAGTGCTGGTATCCTACCAGACAAGTCTGGTACCAATTTGCCGACCCCAGAGAGATGAAAGACTCGGTGGGCCACGGGCGCAGGAATCTATTCCACGTGTGTGTCGCAGTGGCGCCTCCAACCACTGCGCCACATGCGCCTTCAAGGGTGCTGTATACAACTTAGTTATAATTCTTCGTATTCTTGTTGAAGAAACGCGAGGTGTTATTTTTATTCCTTATTCACGAATAAGCTGACGTTTCGGCGGATTTCGTCATCCTCAGAGCTTGGAAAGGTCGAGTTGACAGCAATCTATTCGGCCAAACACCTCCATAACCAAGCATAGAAAACGTTAAACCAAGATTTCAATCACATTGAACACAGCTTTGCACACACACACCGCCTTCTATGAGGATTCCACTGAGTATGTCGCGTGAAAACTAACCGCACAGAATTCACATGGTAGCGTGATATTCCCCTCCCATCAAGAATAACAGCATTATATACAGTCCACTACCACGCGTGGTAATGAGGCATTCTTCCCTGCGGTTCATTTTCGGATTTCCGGAATTAATCCAGAATGGGAAGAGGGCTGAGAGAGGAGTCCCGGAACTTGGCGCGGCAAATAGCCATTTCTAATGGCTACGAAACTGTAACTCGGGATAGGTGTAGGGGAAATCCGAGGCCCCCAAACAACAACTCTAGCGATAAAAAGACCCCGTTTATCATACCCTTCATCTCAAATGAGTGCAGCTATAAAACGCTGCTCAAGAAAGGCGGGTCTAGAGAATTCGGTAAACGTAGTTGAAATACCACCGAGCAATATTAGGCGACAGCTAGTTCGTAACCGCATCTATGACCGTCTATGTGCGACGCAAAATTGCTTGCTCTAACGGTAGAGCCGGTGATTGCATGAGCTCGGGTACAGTTCATCTGATCTCCTGTAAGGCGTGCGGAGACGAATACATTGGCGAAACGGCAGAGCCCTCTGTATCCGCATAAAAGAACACCTAGTCGTCAAATGTAAACCAAACACTCCACTAGGAACGCATAGGCTCCAGAGACATAATGGGGAAGACTTTGAAGTACGTATCACGATCCTCGCACAAGAATCGAGAACACAGGCGCGCTAAACTCGCGAAGCGTTTCCGGATTAATTCCGGAAATCCGAAAATAAACCGCAGGGAAGAATGCCTCATTACCACACGTGATATTGGGCAGTATGTAAGACTTATTCTGATGGGAGAGGCAGATTACGCTACCATGTGAATTCTGTGCGGTTGGTCTTCACGCGACGTACTCAGTGGAATCCCCATGGAAAGCGGTGAGTGCGCAAAACTGTGTTCAATGTGATTGAAATCTTAGCTTAGTGTTTTCTGTTTGGTTATGAAGGCGTTTGGCCGAATAGATTGCTGTCAGCATGACCTTCCCAGGCTCTGAGGAAGGCGAAATCCGCCGGAACGTCAGCTTATTTTATTCGTGAATAAAGAATAAAAATAACACTTTGCGTTTGCTCAACAAGAATACAAATTAATCAATCCCGAGGTTAATAGAAAGTCGTTCGTGGGAGTTAATTATAATTCTTCTAAGAAAGTAAGCTATCTGCACTTCTGCACAAAAAGCAAAAACGACAGTGACGTACTCCCATCCTAATTCGGAAACTGCATTACCGAGTTCAGGGATAACACCCAGCTCTTCAAACGCCGTCATCACTCACTGAAATTTCATGTTCGACTTAAGGCAGTTATGGCGATAATAACAGATAACAGCATATAGTTGAAAAAACTCTAACAATGAACTATCCAAGAAAGGTAGAACGCTTTATTAAATGGTATAGAAGACTATGAAAAAGAAGAAAAACGTGATATAGAGCTTCACGGGAACAACAAAACAGCACCGCTCAAAGTGGAACGAATATTCTTAGACAGAATTTACATAAGTGAGAACATGAAAATCACTTAAAATAGTGCTCCCACAGGAATCAATGCTGGCTCAGCTTCTTCCAGCCTGTTCCCAATCACGTAAAAGATTAGCAAGTTGCTCCCGTATTCTATAAAGACGTCTTTTCTCAGTTAGAAGCACGTCAGCCATTTTTTTCAGGCACTCGTCCTCTAGCTAGAAACTACGAAGCTTTTGATCTATTGGCATTTATCGACCAGAAAATTGTGATATTACCACACTTCAAACAATCACCATGATCTTCCGAAGAACACGAGTCCTACGGGCTGTTTTAGTGTCCGGCCTATTTGTGGCTTTTGCTCGCTGTTTCTCACCCATAGCTCCACTGTAACTGAAACCTCACATATATTAACACAAGTTCTATTACTTAGCTAGAAATATCTGAGAACAACAAAACAACAGAAAATCCACTGCAAACGCCACCAGATAAAGGTAGAGACGCATAATTACTTGAAGATTTAAAACTTATTCTTCTCCTTAGTATGAAAACATGTTTGCTTGAAAACCTAGATTCCTATGTCCTACTGAACTCCACGCCGATATTGAATCAAATCCTTGTACGACGAAGTGAGAATTCCACACTATACTTCTGCTATCGTTGCGGAAAAACACCTGATCACATTCCCATGAAAGTATAGTTTGATCGAGAACAAATTCATGAATTTGGACCTCGGCAAGCAAAATAGTGTTTTCATTGCAATATCTATACATTCACAGAGGGATTCGTTCATGCCAATGCCTAAAGAGCTTTAGAGAACTTTCAACACTAACGCATAACGTAAAACATTCATCACGTGAGACCTTACCAAATTGCAATATTAGCAATAACAAAATAGTAACAAGAACAATAAGAAAACGGATTTCACCAATACAACGAAGAACATATTTTGCATGAAAATGAAAAACCACATCAACTTCGATAAAGGAAGCACCATATAGGTGTAAAACAGCGTAATCACTAACTATACGCCCTTATTTAGCGCAAAATACTGTCTAGTTTCCTCTTTTTCGCTACTGCGGCCTCCGAATCACTTTGCTGTTCGCCTTGTTCACGTTTCATTATAATTTGGGCCTGAGTTGCTCGTTCTGCTCGAGGACCACTGACTATATAGCTAAAACTTATTCATGTCACTGGATACTACAAGAGAATCACAAATGTGTGCAAACAGGTTTCTCACCTATGAATGGCGTACGGAGTAAAATGAAAATCTTGTTTAAGATAGCCGTTCAACAGTGCTTCACACAAGGCAGCTTCAACTAGGAACTGCAAAGTCGACATGGAAATGTTGAAAAGCTAAAAAATAAAGCATAAATTTAACCATTATGAAAAGATCTGACTTTCGATCCAACATGTTCTTTGACAGTTAATTCAACGAGTCTCGCTCCAGTGATACGATTCGATCCACGGTCAGAAGATTTTTGCTGAAATAAAAAACCCTGGAAAGGAGATAAATTCAACATATTCTCGACAACGTGACCTCTAAAGGAGTCATACGGTGCGGAACTATTGGCTCTGCTTTCAAATTTAAATCAACATATCTCAGCTTACTGTGAACATTATTAATTTCAATGGGAACTATTAAAATCTATAAATCTTTCTGTTTAGGATAACACTTCTTCTTCACCACCAAAGAAAAAAAATCCTGATTTTCTGGAGCTTATGAAATACACTTTTTGCATTTTATTGCTTCCAAGTTCATATTTCGAACATGAAAGGAAATGAACACAGAGATTTCGTCTCTCAGGATAAAATGGTATTACTCAGTGTATCGTTTTGTGTTTGCAGCTTCGTTGAAAAATCTAAAAACTTAAATTTCGCTATAAACTTCTCGGAGGAAAGACTACACGTGTGATCAATTCAATAAAGCAAAACTCTCTTCGTTAAATGTACGAGATTCTGAAATTCTGAAGTACTGTAATGATCGAGAAGTTACCTCCTGTTGTCTTTCAATGCGAATGTGTTAAAGAACGCATCTACATGTGAATGCTGCACAAAGTGTTTCCAACAGCAAGTAAAAACTGCAGCATTTTTTTTACCTCATGAATGATTCTAAGCATAGTCCGGATTACAGATGTAATGTCCACTTCCAGAATTTTCGACGGTTTTGCGCACACATCACAAGCTTTCGGACACAGGTTATTTCTCCATGCCTCTTCAAAGTGATCGACCAGATGTTTACGGCGGCACACTCCCGGCTAGAAAGTTCACAAAACTTCTTGAAGATCTCAAAAATCGCCTTACAAGACATGAGCATTCATGTATAAAAAGTCATACTTCGTAAATGTAGCTTGCTTACAAACAGAAACAGAGGAATGAAACCACAAATTTCAAAAGACTAAAGCAAACCGTGCACGCATAGCGGACCATGGCGTACAGGTTTCTGATGCCCGTACGCTCTGTACATATCATTGTACTCTGCCGAAAGACATCGGACAAGCGGTAGTACAGTATACATACGGCAGGCAAACCATCACGACCGGCTCGTCCACTTTCCTAATGCTAACATATAATGGGGGAATTAGAGATTACGAAACTTTTATGCAAAAAAAGCTTCGCAGTGGAGATCAATTACGAACAACACAAGAACGACAGTTATTGAAACAAACCTGAAAGTAGTTCTCAACAGATTTGGGTAATGCATGATGTATGACGAAACGCACATCGGGTTTGTCAATACCCATGCCTAAAAGCAATTTCAGCACAAAAAGATTTATATGGATGTAGGCAGCAATAATCCGCCCAACAACACACCAAACGCCACCGTTGCGACAATGACATTGTACTTCCCGGCCACCCATTTCTCATGAACAGATGAACGTTGGGATGAGCCCATATCCGCGTGATAGAATGCAGCACGAACACCGCATTCCCTATACAGTCCATGATACGCTATGAGCTGGATTTGAAAAAAAAAAAAACAAAAAACGAAGAGCTACAAACTAAATGAGAAAGCCACGTTTTTCAGCCCATAAAACATAAAAACTTTAATACCAAGTCTATGACTTCGTGCAAGACTTATCATTAATGTGTCATTCTTCTACAAATCCTGGTTCTTAGTATAGAAAGAGGAACGCTCTGCTGCGACTACCCTCAGTGTTAAATGAAAAATACAAATGCCAAGTATTAGGCGTAAAGCAAACCGTAGTTGCGTCGTCACCTCTTCGCAATCTTTCCTTGAAAAGCAGTACACAATACCTGACTGCTCAAAGAACCTAAAAAGTAGTGGCACGGGTTACATCTACACTGCAAACAATTATCGCAAAATCACACCTAGCCTTTATCAACCTAGCCAGCTCAGTACCAAGCTGCCCATCTGGCTTTTGTAAGACCTCATAAAATAAATTCGTACGGTTAAGGCATGCTTTGAAAACCACAGCATCTGGAAAGGAAAGAATAATAACTTCAGTAGATCGAAGATTTTAAGGAAAAAATTCTTGAAAAGACATCAGAAGTAAATCTAGGACAAACAGTTATACCTTCTCATCTCCCACCAACATTTTATCTTTTATCTTTTAATTACATCATCAAGTCTTCTCTTCATAATATTACTTCGCTCCATCATGAAGGCAAGCCGTTTACTGGAAGTTTTGACTACGACACTCAGTTTGTTATTGCGTTCCCTGGTTGTGACTCAAAGGACTGAAGTGCTCAGCATTAATAGGGAAACCCAGTTGATGGTTGACTCAGCATTTTCAGTCTCTCTTGAAATTTGACTACAACAAAACTACTGCCTTTTAAGAACAAGAAAGAGCCGCGACTGGAAATGACGACCTTAGAATCACTAATCACGAGTACCTCTATAAAGGCAGTTAGAAGAAAACCTCATCACAGGAATTTTACTCGAACATTACCATGAAATTAGTTTTTTACTTTATTTCACTCATCTTCACGTCAACTGTGCGGATCCCAGCACTTCTCACATCCAATTCGTTTCCTCGCATCGATAGTCCACGAAGGCCTTCCAAATTTTACGTATGACTTCGGCTGCTGCTTTGCTTGAGGATTTTCATTCTATCTTGAATGCCATAGAATGCTCGTCGAGTCCTCCTTGGAGTCCTGAGATAGCCGGTCTGAAGCGTTTTTCATTCGATTGCAGAAAATGATTTTCTTCCCAGAGAAGTCCGGTACCAATTTCCCGAACCCGGAGGGATGAGAGGCTTGGCTGGCCCAGAACAGAATCGAACTAGCATCATGCCCGTGACGACGGATATCACTGGCACTGCGCTATCCGGCGCATATATAAATTCGCACGACACGTCCCGAAAACAGCTCCGTTTGTCAAGTCGTTCATCGACGTAGTCAATTCAATCACACTAATGGAGAATAGCATTGCGTGTAAGCTAAAATGAAATCTTCGTCTTTTTGACGCCTTTTTTTCGAATAGCGCCGAAGTAATCCGACGGAGGAGAAACGATGATTCGTGACTTCATGAAGGAGAAAAATATTAAAACCAATACATTGGCTGAACACACTCAGCTTATGAAAAAAAAGGGTACAACGTGGAATAATCCGTCTATTAACTAGAGCGATTTCATCCTATTCCGCCTGTTCATTTTAAGATTTTTAATGTGCCTAAAACGTTTAGTAAACATAGTAAAATAACGCTGAGAAAAACTGTGAAAAGCGCTGCTACCACTAACCGCAAAAGCTTACTTGGAATATCGAGCATGTTCTTCACATCGGAAAGGACACTGGCTGTCGCGGTTGCTGTCAATCCGAGAATGGGCACATTTGGAAATTGACGCTTTAGAATATTAAGAAACTTGTAATCTGGTCGAAAATCATGACCCCACTGTGAACAACAATGGACTTCGTCAATGGCAAACACCTGAAGAAACAATTTTGGATAGAGAGGTACAAGCCGCTGCAATCGTCCAGATAAGATATTAAAACGGTTGTTCTCGCCGACTAAAACAAGACAAACCTTCAAAGCTCCAACCTCAGCTGATTTTTCTAATCTATTCATCAACCTTTTACTTTTAGCTAACTTTTCCGGCGTTATATAAAGAAGCCTGAGAGGCGAACCGTTCTGAACAATCTCAGACTCGATCCTCTTCACCTGTAAACAAGATATAAAATTGGGGTAGGAAAAACGGACGAAGAAGAACATAATCTTAATCGTTTCATTCACTGCCTACTCTTTTTTTAATCGTAGGGTATATTGCGAAATATAACTTCAATGAAGCTGAGATTGGCAAAACTCCGGACCGCAGGTGTATGCGGTGGGGAACGAACACGCTTTTGTCCTTTTCGGGGAGCAACGCGTTCGCCACCACACCATACGGGTTCTTAGTTTCGCCTCACTCCCCGGAAAGGACAATAGCACTTTCATTCCCCACCGCACACACCTGCGGTCCGGAGTTTTGCCAATATCTCAGCTTCATTGGAGAAGAACATAAATTTGTGGTCTTTGGACGAAGTCTCTTCGATCTCTACTCGCATCCTCCTTCGACGTTGACTGGTTGAGAGCTTCAGCTCCGACGCCAAGCTTTCGCAAGTTTGCGAGTTGATCCTCAATGAGCGATATCAAAGGAGAGATGACAACTACCAGACCTGTAAAAAAAGAACTGCTCACATAATTGTCATTTTTTAAAGTGGAAAACTTCAGCCGAAATAACGTTTTCATACCACCTTTCATAGCAATAGCCGGAAGCTGATAGCACAAGCTTTTCCCAGCTCCAGTACTCATGACTACAAGGGTATCTACGCTCGACATTATAGCGTTTATAACTTCTCGTTGAAGTGGTCGAAATGACGGAATGTGGAAGACCTATAGTTGTAGATAACAGTAGACAAATTAGGGAAAACATACTGCAGAACACAGAGAATAAAACCAAGAAACACCAAACACATCAATACTGAACCGATCTCAAACTGTTATCCTGGACAAAATCCTTGATGGGAAGCAAATTGAAAGCACACAGAAATTACAACCATAGTAATGTTGAGATATTCGCCTACCCTTTCCACGGGCACACGCCTTACGCATTGCACCACTCGTTTTATACACGGAAATTATAGAAAATCTTCATACAAAAAGACTAGACTACAAAAAAATCGTCCTCAACATTCCAGGGACGTTTCAAAAGTAGTTACTCAGGGGGTTGCTTAAATATTGACGGTTGTGAGGCTCGCTATCAAAGAATACATATAGCTTCAATACCATTCAGATCTGATTTAGTCTCGAAAATCACCTTCGAAAGTATAGAATCCACTTCGTTCGACCAGGGAAAGGTGCCATCAAACTGAGTACTTGCAATCTTTTCGTTCTGCTGAACATTTCGAATCTCCAACGCTAACTCGATCTGTAAAACAACTTCAGGAAAATAAAAAGGGTAGTTTTGAATTCTAAGGTCGTCAATATATGGCGCTATTTAAGAGACCAGATAGAAATAATCGTAACTACAATAAGTAAGACGCTCATATAGATAAACCTTCTGCATGATATTAATTCTATGTCCTCTCAATTGTTTACCGCCCTACCGTGGCTGGAGGCGTTCCTGGGTTTTGAGTCGCGATATATGATGGGGGCCATCCCCCAGAAAGCCCTCGCAAGCTGAGAATGAGTTCAGTGTATCCATCAGGAAGCCCAGCTAAGAGTAAACCAATACCAGGACCCATCACCATCCTTGTATGAAGTTAGCCATATGGTGGAAAATCCCCTCTGATTCACAAGGGTGGCAGTGATGTAGTGGTGATGACCTGGGGCAGAGTTTGGCTAGGCTGACCTCGGTACTCCAGCGAAACGTGATGGCTAAACCAGCAAAACTCCGAAGAAAGGGAAATTATGCCGGGTCCGCATAATCAATGGTCATCCAAGTAATTCTCGGTAGAAACAATTATGCTTGTGCTTGGACCTTCATTGATGGTATTAAATGAGCATAAATGTCTACTCGAGAAAATGTCGAAGTATAGAAACCCATTAGTGCTGACGTCTAACTCTGTGCGACCCGAAGAAAAATTCTCGATAACTAGAGAATTTAGGTGGTTGGGAATATGATAGCATTAGACAAGAAACTTTGTCACACTATTCCATGGGTTTTTATGTATTAAATATTTACGATATGTTCTAATGACCACCATAAGTAAACATTGGTGTCATTATTTGGGAGTGTTTCCCAGCTCACTGATAATGCTTCTGTACTTTCTACACGCCTTCACTCCATACGATTACCACTACCCATTAAAGGAACTCAGATTGAAATACCATTCTATACATACATATATATATGTATATGTATATATGTGTGTATGTACATATATGTATGTATATCCATATATATATCAGCCAAACTACATTTCAACAGGATTATTCGAAAAAAAAGCATTTTGTGCAATTCTAAGTGCAGAATAGAGTTTTTTTCGGGCAACGCCCGCCACAAAATCTGTGTTAGATAAACCACAGGATGAATGCAAAAAGTTTAGCAAAATAAAAATGTTGCAAACAGTAAAATAACAGGATAAGCAAAGGACAAAGCTCTCTGCGTCGATCAATCCCTGAGAGGTGCGCCACGCATTCGACTTCATTGAGCATCGCTGGAGGTCGATGAATACAAACTGGCCTTCACAATGACTCGCGCTGGCCTACCGATGTATCAAGCAAGTGCTGCTAACCCCTCAGCCAAGTCTGGTACCGATTTGCCGAACCCGGAGAGATTAATGAGCCTAGGGAGTGGAGATCGACCCTTTGTGAATTGCAGGGCGCCTCCGAGCACTGCGCTTCACGCTCCCCCTTCACAGTAAAATAAACAGTAGGAAAGAAATAAGACACAAACGACTCAGATCGTCACCAATATGTTAGGAAGACCTCGAAGTCCAATGAAATATCCTAGCTTATGCCAATACCAAACCACTCAGCGATCACTATGCAAAATTGGACAGCAATGTGTGGGAAATACCGTTTGCCTTTCACATTTTTACGCTGCCAAAATCCCATGTTAGGGCGAAATCGAGACATACAGAAAAGTATTAAGGATCTCTAGTCACCATGTTGAGCCATTTGAACTACATTCTTTTCACAAACAAATTCAGAAAGTCTTCGACATGGTTACCAACTACTCGTGAGCTTTTGCAAGTAGCAGAGCGAATGAATAGTAAGACACCCACCTCACCTCAGCTCTTCTCTTTTCCAGCTCCTCGTTCCGCTCAATCAGCTGGGCAATTTTACGTTGATTATACTCAAGTTCCTCGATTATCTCCGCCAATTCCGTAGTCTCTCGCTCTGAGTACCCATTTGCCGAACTCAAAGACATATATGCTCTAAATATAACTTTAAATAAAAAGAAACAACAGGAAAACGAAGGCTCTGGTCAAAAATATCGGAAATTTGATTGCTTGAGAACTCAAACAGTTTTCGGATTGACGTTGGAGCGTGGTATCGCACTGGCGCGCGTTTGAATTCCTTGGTAAGGGTCTTCCTCAGAATGACGTAAATTTGGAAAGAAACATATACCTATAACCTGCACTGATGAACAAGGTTCTATTCGATTTCACATAGACGAAGTTTCCAAGTACTTCCTTGAAGGAGAAGCGCTATCCACAGCTGTTATACAACACCACTGTCGCTGGTTATTCAGTTTGCAGTAATGTCTTCACCAACGCAAATAGGTGGACTCAACGAAGGATTTCTAGGTTCTTTTAATTACGCTGCACCAGACCCCTGCGAGTAACCATTGGCTATCTTGTCTTCGAAGGAAAGCTGAGACAAAGATCCTCTGGCCAAAAGAGAAAATTTCATTCTCTTCGTCTCTGTGCGACAACCTCGAAGTCCAATGAGTAGCTTTGTTGCGAAACAGAGCTAAGGAATCTCTCGTTATATAACCACAATGATGCTGATATATTTGCAAAACTCCGGAATGCAGGTGTTTGCGGTGAGGATCAAACCCACTGTTAGACTTTCCGTGGACCTAACGCTTTCACCCCCACACCATCGGGACTTTCGTCTCGCCTTCCTCTCAACCGTCTTTTAGCCTATAGCTGCTATCAGCAATCACTCGTCCCTTGTTATAAGTGTATATGTGCACTTACTTGGAAAAGGTATACATCAAGCCAGCAAACGAAAGTCAAATACAACCACAATGTTGCTCAGATATTTGCAAAACTCCGGACCACAGGTGTCTAAGGTGGAGAACAAACGCACTATTGTCCTTTCCGGGGACTAACGCGTTCACCACCACACCATGCGGGTCCTTCGTTTCGCCTGCCTCTCAGCTAGTTCTATCGATCTTTTGCCATCAGCAATCACCCGTCAACGGGATTGATCTGCGAAGCCCAAATCGGCATTGAAGCCAGTTAAGCTGAGGCCATAGTTATAATCACAATTTTAACCTTTTTATTTACTGCCTATTCTTTTTAGTGTCAGGGTATGTTGCGAAATATAACTCGCATAATGTTGAGATATTTGCAAAAGCACGAAGGACCCGCATGGTGTAGTGGCGAACGCGCTACTCCCCGAAAAGGACAATAGCGCGTTCGTTCCCCACCTTAGACGCCTGCGGTCCAGAGTTTTGCAAATATCTCAAAGAACATTGTGGTTGTATTTCGCTTAGTACCCTGCCGAGAAAATTGTAGTAGGCAGAAAATAAAAAGTAAAACAAAGTCAGATAGTTCACTCACTAAATTCACTTGTTTCTCAGCGGGAGGAATTATCTGTTTGAGACCGCGGAACCGTTGAACCGAACCCCTTTTCCTTTCCACTACCCCGAGGACTTGCTGACTTGTGACGAACAGGCTAGGGGAACCCACAGTAAAAGGGAATCGTGGGAAGATAAAAGCAGCGCGAAAATTTTCAAGAACTTTTTTTCGTTTCAATCGCGCTCATCGTCCACAATGGTCTTCGAACATGTCGCGTGCTGCTTCAGTTTCTACTTGGGATTTCGCCTTCGTTATGAATGTCGGAGAGTGCTGGTCGAGTCAAATCTCCTTGCGGTCTTGGAGACAGCCGGGCTGGGATGTTACCACGTGAACTGGAGAAGAGCATTGGAGAGGAACCGAACTAGAGCCTTTGCTTCCTGACCAACGGCGTCACTATCCACCGCGCAATCGCGGCCCCGATGACGAGAATTGCACATATCAAGTTCCTGTGAACTCTAATAAACCCTGTAGAACTCCAATGTTCGACTTTTAGTCAATCTTATCATTGATCACGTACATTTTGTGTACTTGACGAGCTACCGATACGAACAAGACATTTATTTTCAACGAATTTCGCGTTCTTCGAAGCCGTTCTCCACGTTCGTCACATGCACAGAAAACGATTTAAACGCTCCATCGTCATTACAAATGATGATTAAAGGATAAAGCTCTCGGCGTTGATCAATCCCTGAGGGATGCGCCATGCATTCGCATTCGACTTCATTAAGTATCGCTGGAAGTGATTGAATGCATATCTGCCCTCTACAATGACTCGCGGTGGCCAATCGATGTTTCGAGCCAGTGCTGCTATCTTCTCAGACAAGTCTGGTACCAAGTTGCCGACTCCGGACGGATAGAAGGTTTGGTGAGCCTAGGGTGCCGGGATCCAGCTCAATGATAATTAATTACAGGAAAAATGAGCGGGTGCAACGGTAATTTGACGTACTGTGAAGCTCACAACCGCAAGAAATCTCCGAAGAAGGTAAAGTCCGGTGATTGTGAATTAAACGGAATGCTAAAAACTTTGTGTCAGCCCATTAAGAATACGACAACGTACTGGATAGAGAGATGGAATCACGATGCATCTTGTGACTACCGTCCAAT